CACGTCCTTGTCATGGTAAAAATGATCGGATCTTCTGTTTTTTTGGTAGGGAAGAATCCATATGATCTGAGATCACAAATCCGTTTTTGGATTTTCCCGAAAAAACGCATCCTAAGACATTCGCTAGTCATAACAACATTTAATTCTTCCGTGCACAGAATGAGCTAGAATGAGCACAGCTGTATGCAGATTTTAAAGGTTAAAGCAGCATTTTGTTTTCATAAAATCTCTTAAAAAGTGGCTTTGAATGACTTTAAAAAATATGACTAAGGAAATGTTTGAACAAAATGTTATGGTAGCGTGGTTTCGTGAATTTTCTGTAGACGAGCTTGCAAACTTTTTTTTCTTAACGGTTTCAAGTAAAAAAAGATTGGTGCGTACAAAAATGACCTGTCAAAAGCAAATCAACGTGCTCAATGTTTTTTTGATTTGCAAAGTAATTTGCATGTGATGAACACGTTTTTATTTATTTGCCAATTCAATCAGAATTTTTTTTTTCGGATCCTTCAAGAGGTTTTAGTGGTCCTTGATGCTGACCAAAAGGATCGCAGCCTCTGGAAACGAGACTGACACGACGATACCTATCGTGCGTGCAAATGAATTAAAAGATGGCTGACGAAGGCGAGAACGAAACTTGCGATCAAACCAGGCAAAATCCCCGGCAAGTAAGTTTATATTACGTTGCTTTATTTTGTCCAAGAAGAATATTTTCTCCAGGAAGACACTGCTACAGTTTAAAGGAAACGAATACTATCTATAGTAGGGAGCTTCTTTCATATTTATATGTAAAGGAAATGCAAAGAAAACGGCAAACGAAGTTCATGCGCTACCCAACCAAATGAAACTGGTCTAAAAGAAAACAAATGTATTATCAAGCTTCACCGTCCGGTTTTAGTGGCACGAAAATAACTCGACATTTTCAAGGTCTTCAAAACAGTTTTCAAAGAATATAAGAACTGATACAAGTTTTATCAAATCAGGGTTTTCATTTGGCATCATCGGAGAATTCTCTGCTTAGTACACAGCATTCTCCTGTTAACGTTCGGTGCCTGACTATTTTTATTGAAACTTAACGTTACGTTAATCCGGTTTATAACACCTTCGTAAGGCTTCAGTGTCTTCTTTTTAGTGTGGTTCCTCTTTCAGCTCCAACTGTGATTTAGGTAAAACATTTTTACCTAAGCAGCAGGGACCCAGCAAATTCCTGAACCGGCCTAAGCCTGTGATGGTTTTCTCAACTCACGCTACTAAAATTCTTAATGAAAACCTTGTGAATCAATTCATAATTTCTGTCCCAATTTCCTTTATGAGATCTTAACAGTTTTTTTTGTTTCAATATCCACTCTTGCTCTATTTTTCAACGGCAGTTCGGGTCGATGTGTGAGATAAATGACCTAAAGTCCGTTTACTAGTGAAAACGTCGAAATTAACATGTGCCGAACTTTGGTCGATTCTAATGCAAATAAGCGGCAACGATAGATTCAAAACAGTGAATCTTGAATTAATTATGTAAAATTATATTTGTTGACTCAGTCCCGTCAACAGGTTCGCAGCAAGTTTGCCGGTTCAGTCCAACAGTCTCATCGCTGAAAATAAAACACGCATTGTAACAACCTCTATAATGCATGGTGACCAGATGAATTTCCATTGACGATCGCGTTACAAGTGATCATAGACTTTAAGAGGCGTTTTGCACAAAAGTCAGACAGCACTGTCCGAGTGGTCTTTGAGAGTCGTCGTTATCTGATGTTGTATGAGAAATAAAATGCTGATGCCTGCGAACGATAAATATCGTTATATTTTAACTTTTCATCAATAAACTTGATAAAGCAGATTTATCTTAATTTTTTGTTCTACATGTATTTCGGTGTATTTCGGTGTGAATTCATCGATTTTATCCACTTCATTTGGCTCTATTGCGTTACCCCTGTGAAGTCTTATGTTTTTCTCATACTTCTTAACTAGTAGGTTGTAACGCATGATTCGCGCGCGCGTGGGCGGAGCCCCATAGCTTAGTAAATCTACCCATCCCAGAAAATTTGGTAATCACGTGACCGTACACCGAGCGCCGAGCGCCGAGCGCCGACCGTCCGTCCGCACCACAGGACAACCAATGTTTACTCTCACACTTTTAGCTAGTTTGGGAGCCCAAGAGAAAACTAATTGCACATCAATGTTGTGATCAATTGACAGCTGTCAAAACAGAGCATCCGCTGACCAGTATCACCTGACGGTACCGCGGGCTCGAGTGTCGACCCATCGAGGTCGAGTATTTTTTGAAGTTATCCGCTGACAAATTACCAGTTTCAAATGATCGCAGGCTCAAATTTATTTTTTTCCAAGGATTCATATCAAATATGTTGTGTTTATGTCACTATGGCCCCGCCCTATTAGGATTATGATTTCAAACTGACTTTGGAAGCGAAAATTCAGCCAGTTTTTTTAAAAGTACAGGCGGGAAAGACCTTATCTTACCATGGTCACGCGTTAGTCACGCTCTACGTCCAATTTTTATACTCTGATTAGTCAAAATTTGACAGGTGAGTTCGTGCCGAAAAATTATGCAGCATCTTGAAAGTTGTTTACTTTGACAGCTGAAGCTGAAGAGTTTTGCGTCAATAGAACTTTTGATGTTTTTAACTGTCTTTTTCTTCTGGATGTACAAAATGAAATACAGCTGCTATCAAGAGTCTTCTGTTATTCATGGCTAGTATGTTTACTGGGTTTTTGGTTGAGAAACGCGTCGCTCGTCAAAATTTGGTAATTCGATTTCGGATGGCATCGTTTTTGTTTTTCACCTTGCTTAAGAGGGTTTAAAAGTCTCAAGCAACTGTGGCCTTCCTTGATAGCTTTCAGGAACTGAATCTCGAATGGTAAGCCTGAGTAACTATTGTATTTGATGTTTGTCTTCGTTATATCTAATTTCATGAAGTCTTACACATTCACGCTGACAGCTTATGCGGCAAGTTTATGCACGTTTGTAGCCGTAGTTTGAGTCAACGATCTGACATCGTATCAGGTATGAACGGTTTGCTATAAGCTTACAGAACTATAAACAGCNCGTAGTTTGAGTCAATGATCTGACCTAGTATCAGGTTTGATATAAGCTTACAGAACTTTAAAAAGCCTTCAGATATATTTGCTCACCACAAATAGAAAGAAAACGTTCCGAAGAATATTTAGTTATAAATTTGGCTGTAGAAAGAAAACTTTGAGCGATTTTCTTGCTTCGAGGAGTTTATTTTGGAAAATAGTAAACGGGTAATGACAATCTGCGAGCCAGCGAGCCATGCGAGTCATGCGAGTCATGCGAGCCATATGTGCGAGCCATCAAAAATTTTGAAAATTGGAAAAAAAAATGTAATTCATACTAGGGAGTACAATTAAAATCGGTTTTTACTCACTGTTTATCTCTGTTTTCCCTCGCTCGATCGATCGATCGTAGGCGCCATCTTGTTTCTGAAATCATCTAACACGCGCCAGTCTCTGCTCTTTGAATGCTTCTCTCTTGAGTCTGGGTCGAGGTTGAATGACTCTGTGTCGCTCTTCTGAATCTCCCTACGGACATCACGCTGTTGACTTGCTAAATCTTTTTCTAATCGTCTTCAATCCTTGGATAATTCGGACAATTTTTCAAGTACCATTATTTTTACGCAAAATAGTGAAAGCAAAAATAAACAGAGAGAAAGCCATGTAAAAATTTAACAATGAATGTAAAGCATGGATGCCAAGGAGCAATTTTATGTATGTTTCATGATAAAAGCATGCATAGGAATCCTATATTTTTTACATAGAAAGAATTTTATCGCTACTTTCAAACAAACAGACTAGTCCCGGGACTAGCTTCTGCCAAAGAGACGATTTATGGAAAAAGTGGCCATTTTGTTTATGTGCGCGCGCTAATCATGTGTAAAAGTAAGGATGCAGTAATAGCGTCGTACCACTGGGCTGTACTGCACACACCTGTCGATACACGTGCGATGTATAATATGTTAGCTCATTACTGCCATTGTTTGTATCTCGTACTTTTCGTTACGGGAGAGGGGAGAGGCAAGACTGCGAAAAGAAAGACTGCAAAGGCGATCGTGTCGGTGTTTTCCAGTGGCTCGCAAGGCTCGCACGTTTGGCTCGCATGGCTCGCATGGCTCGCACGTTTGGCTCGCATGGCTCGCATGGCTCGCTGGCTCGCACATTGGCCACACTCACAGTAAACACCCGCGCCGGGAAGCCGGCTTAAGCTTCACGCCGAGACTCAGGATTTTTAGAGACACTTTAATACTTGTCTTCATGAATGAAAATTGTTGTCTCTGTAAATGTTTCACCGAATTATATTTCTTTTTTTGATTGTTAGTAGTCTCTCTTGCAATTTTAATCGCTTGCCTGTGCCGTTTGTTTTCATCGTTCATGAACATCGCTTGCAGGAGTACTCAAAAATGTCTCGCGTATCAAACGCTTTATAAGATTACACATCGTTATAACTGAAACCATTAAATAACCAAAAAAATTAATGATAAATTCGCTATTATGTTGAAGTGTAACTCTATTAAAGTTCATTCAAACACTCGACTACACTGACAGCTCACACTATAGAAACGAGAACCGGCTGGCCATATGGGTGATTTTGGAAATTTTTGAACGGTTTCGCTTTACGATTGATCGTCCTGAATATTGACTGAGTGCAATCACCGAATTATATTTCTTTTTTTGATTGTTAGTAGTCTCTCTTGCAATTTTAATCGCTTGTCTGTGCCGTTTGTTTTCATCGTTCATGAACATCGCTTGCTGGAGTACTCAAAAATGTCGCGCGTATCAAACGCTTTATAAGATTACACATCGTTATAACTGAAACCATTAAATAACCAAAAAAATAATAATAAATTCGCTACTATGTTGAAGCGTAACTCTATTAAAGTTCATTCAAACACTCGACCACACTGACAGCTCGCACTATAGAAACGAGAACCGGCTGGCCATATGGGTGATTTTGGAAAGTTTTGAACGGTTTCGCTTTACGATTGATCGTCCTGAGTATTGACTGAGTGTAATTTGTCTTGAAAAATTGTGAAATACTGCATTCTGTCCGAGGTCTGTATGATAAATAGTACTGTTTCACCTCAAATGTGATGTATAAAAGTTACAAAAGGTTGGTTTAAACACCCCCAGATTTGTTGGCAAGAATTTGTAAAGTAAACCTGTCGAACGCAAAAAAATTCGGCGTGATTGTTTTCCAAGAATTTGTTTTGGTGGCCTAATCTACTGTGATCTTGAATGTGATCGAAGATGTTTTCTACTTTTTGGGTGTACATATAAGGTTATCAATTCGATGTAAGATGTTTCATTCTAAAATAACTTAGCCTTTCCCTCGAAAGAATGAATGTGCCCTTAAGTTAAATGATTTGTGGATTAAAAATGTATTGTCTGATTTAAATTATAAATTTATTAATTGGAGCTTCGCTTTTAGCCCTGGCTAAATCTATATATTAATCTTCCTAGCTCTGGTCTTTGGTATGAAAATAAAATTGCCCATCCATGCAAGTATAAGTTTGTCAGAATAGCTTCTCACTGGATTTGAACTTCTTAAACAGGTAAGCCAATAAAGGGCTGTCTTTTTTTTTTAGGGCGTTAGGTTATACTGAATATATCTCTTTTGAGTAGGAAAAGAAGAACGAGCAATCAAGTGATCCAAAGGAGCCGAAGCAACCGGTGCAATCGGAATCACCACCACATCAGGATGTTGAGAATGCAGAAAAGTGCACTCCATCGAACAATGGTAAAAGCTAAGCTTAATTTCGCCCCATGTGAGGGAATCCAGAATCCGGAAAAATTTGGCTTATGGGATCGGGAATCCCGGGTTTTGAAATTCGGAATACAGTCCAAGAAATCCGGAATTAAACTAACGATTGCAATCCAGAATCCAAGTTCCACTTACAAGGACTGGAATCAAGTACCTGGAATCCGGAATCCACGGCGTGAAATCTAGAATCCAAGACTGTCTTGGATTCCCCTGCATGGGGAGATTAATTCGTCTTTAAATAGGGACGTTCACTTGTCCTGAATGCTTTGTAGTCCCCAAATATACATATGCTTTTTGTAAATTGCTTTTATTTATTCCTCTGACAGGTTTTGGAGAATTAGAGTCCTTACTTTCTGAATCGATGTCACTGCCAGCAGAAGTTGTCGAGTCGTTGGCGGAGTCCCGTAGTGATATCGTCCAAAATACAACACATTTTCATGCAGTAGTCTCCATCCTTAGTGGTGCTCAGCCTTGATCGCTGGCTGAGTAAAACAAGCTTTTTCGCTCTTGCGTACACAAAAGTGTACTTTTAGCAGAATGTGATTGCCCCTGAAAGGATTTCTTGAATATTTGATTTCTTGTCCGTTTTTTTATGCGCAAAATCGAATCATTGTTTTCGTCTAGACCACCGGAATGGATTTCAAACGCGTAATCTTTTCCGATATGGACTTTCAGGGCTCTCTGACCCTACCTCGAGCAAGTGAAAGAGCGGCACATTTTCTTCCATCACTAGCTAGTCCATCACACACTCTTCAGTGATCAGAAATATATCAGAGGTACATAATAAGTATGTCTCTTATACTCATCAAGTCTCGGTGATCACCACCGAAAGCGGTACTGAGCATGATCATTTTACCACAGACGATTACTTCTCAAGCTTTCACAAAAGAAGGGCGCCCCATTTCCACTTCGCACGAAACAGCCACTAGAATATCTCTAAAAAGTCCAAGCACTTTTTTCAAGACCCGTAGAAAGTTTGAAAAAGAGATATTCCAAGATCAACAAAGTTCATCGATCGAAATAACGAATCTCAATTTCTCCAAGGTTTTACCATTTTTACCATTCTCCATCTTGCGCACAAGTCTTTTACCACTTCTTCTTCGTTGGTTTGTTACCAAATGGCGGGCAAATACTGCCGGGAAAACGTGCAACATGTCAAATCAAAGGCAGAGCTACAGTTTATTTTATAAATATTTTAGGTAATTGTATTACCACCTTATAAAAAGCAAGAACTGCAACTTCAAAGTTTTATCAACGTTATATTTAACAAGAACTAATTATTGTTTAGGGGCCATTGATCATTCGATATTAAAAAAGGTTTGTGTGAATGTTTGTTTAACAGGAAAAAAGCCTTCATCTAACACAGCCAAGAAGATTGCAGCTGTTGCAGCTGTAGGCGTGGCTGCTACTGCTGTGGGGGCACTAGCTGCTCCAGTGATTGCTGGTGCTGCTTTGGGTGCGGCTGGATTCACTTCCGCTGGAGTGGCTGCTGGTTCTGTCGCAGCAGGAGTGCAGTCAGCTGTTTATGGTGGATCTGTGGCTGCCGGAAGTCTGTTTGCTCTTTGTCAAAGTGCAGGTGCCACCGGAGTTATTGGCTCCGCGGCGACTGCTTTCATTGGTGGAGGTACTGGATTGGCTGGCATTGCTGGAACACTGGGGAGCTTCAAACTATTTGTAAGGCTCGACTGTTTGCGTAATTTGTATTCTAACATTAGTAGACAACAGCAGAACTCAACTACAACAAAACTTAAATGATGGGTCTGGGTACATGGGGCTGCTTCCCCGTCGAACATATTTACCTTGGTAGAAGAGCTTTAAATGCAATATTAAAACGAAACTAAAACTTACTTTACTTTACCAGTCTCACTTTAAGAAACAGAAAATTATCGCTATAAAACTGTTTACACCAGAAGTTGACCCTGTCAATTATAGACGACTAAGCTACCGAAAAACCTGATTGGCTCTTTTACGGTCAGCCCAGCAACAAGTATAGTTGACAAAAGACGACGCATTCGATTCCACATTAGACAGCACCAATAGTGATAACAATTGAAACTAATCGATTTCCAAAACAGCAACTAAGGAAATACAGTACTTCATAAGGAACTTTCAATGAATTTTTCTTAAAAACAAAAGGAGAACGTGAATACCAAGAAAAAAGGTTGTGAAATTTTTATTGTCTCGTGTCCAATCATAACAAAAACAGGATACGAGAGCAAGCCACAAACCCACTTACTGTCATTCTTACTTGTGGTTTAATTTACTCACTTTTTGCATATTATAACGTGTTTGTTTTGGCTATTTTCCTTTATTTTGTTCAGTTTCCTCATGCCTGTTTGGCTTTTTCCTTGCAACGCAGTAACTTTCTAGAAATATTTCTGGTGTCCACGGTTCTGATCGTGAGTTTCACAGTAAAAGCTTCATAAACTCTGAAAAATTAGTGAAATAAAGGAAATGAATATTTAATCTCTTATTTACAAGCCGTTTGTCTCTTTTCAAAAAACTTCAGCTAAACTAGCTTATCCTATTGTATTCAAACGATATCATGTAACTCAAATCGAAATTTAAGGGCATTAAATCAAATAATTTAAACCAACAAGCTTGTCAACAGATATTTAGTCAATTTCAAAGCTTCCACTTCTTTTAATAAATAATAATAATAAATATAAAACTTATATTGCGCATAAACAATAGAAATATTTTCATATGCGCATAACAGACGATAAGATATAAATAAGCCGAATTAAAAGCTATCATAAAAATGTAAGTCCATTAAATTCTATGTTAAAAAATAATAATAAAATAATAAAATTAAAAAAACAGGTAAAAACTAAAAACTTAAAAATAAATGAATAAATCAATTAAAAAGGTATCTTAAAAAAGTACGTTTTGAGGGCTCGCTTAAAAGATGTGAGGCTCTGAATGTTTCTTATCTCCGCCGGAAGACTGTTCCACAGTTTGGGCTGAAAAGCTCGGTCACCAAGTGTAGGTAGGCACCGGGCGTTGGCTGATACCAACAAAGTTGCATTCCTTGATCTAAGAGTATATATTGACTGGGCAGCGACAGCAATAAGATCAACCAGATATTGTGGTGCAAGTCCGTAGAGGCACTTGAATATTAATAACACAATTTTAAATTCAATTCTGTATTTGATGGGCAACCAGTGAAGATCTTTTAAAATGGGAGTGATATGACAGGTACGAGGAGTGTTAGTTACAAGTCTGGCAGCAGCATTTTGAACTCTTCGAAGTTTATTAATGTGAATAGTAGGAAGGCCATATAATAGGCTGTTGCAGTTGTCCAATTTAGTGGTAATAAACTCATGGCGGTTTGATGAGACCCACAAATACTTTCTGATCCTACGTATATTGTAGATATAATAAAAAGACAAACTGCAGATATTATTGACATGGCTAAGCATGTCAAGATTAGAGTCAAACCGTGATCCCAAGTTTTTTTACGCTAGGATCATATTGATGATGATGATAATGATGATGACGACGAATAATTATAATGACAAAAACAAATTTGTTGAAGAGCATTTAACTTGGCAAATAGCAAAGTAAGGGATTTGTTTTCTTACAGGAAAATACTATTCGAAATTGCTCTGCAAATACTTTCAAAGGTTTGAACCCTTGTGATCACTGATAGAATAATAAAAGAACGTTTTTTCATGGCGACCAATATTATAAATATGCACAGCAGATACTTGTATCGTAAATCAAATGTGCTAAAAGCAAAAATTGAACGTATAAACTCATTTAATTCATAGGGAAGGAAATCAGACACCATAAAATTGGTGATTTGTGGAAGCGGAGATGGAGCACACGTGTTTGCTGGTATTGCATCTTCTCGAAAAGACACTGACGTTCGAATTCTTGCTTTGCATGAAAATGAAGCAAAGCGCTGGAATACTGCACTGCAGCAAAAGAAACTTGAGGTTACATTTCGTTGTGAAGGTGAAAAAACCTCCAGTATTGTATCCAAACCAGCTCTGGTGACAAACAACCCAGAAGATGCTATGCGAGATGCTCAGATGGTAATATTTATGATGTATGCGTCAGGCTGTCATCAAGTTTATTTAGAGGTTTTAGCACCCCACGTTAAACCTGGCACCATTATAGTTAGTTTATCAGGGTACCCAGAGTTTGAGTTCCAAGTTCATCGCGTGCTGGTGGAGGTAGCGCGGCAATGCACCATCATGAAATTTAAGTCACTTCCTTGGACGTGTCATATCACTGAATTTGGAGTTAAATGTGAGGTAACTCGTACCATGAAGACACTGCACGGGATCGTCAAGGTAAGCTTAGCGAGTGTCGCTCAACGAGAAATAAACGCTGCATTACTTAACCCTAGGCCTATTCTGACCGGGGCGTTGCCTTTAAAGTTGAATACCCTTTAAAGTCGTTCAAGCTATGACCGCCAAAAATTAAAAACATTTTCCTAAAACTATATCTGGGAACATTTTAAAGTACTTCGTGACGAAAACATCAACATTGACGCTACCATAGCAACCGAATTTTAACAGCCATGATACGGGTAAAAAAGTTCTAATTCTATTCTGATTTATTTGATGATTTTAGTTACTTTCAGTTACTTACTTAACTGCATCCGAGAAAATCGGTGACTTGACGAAACTCTTCCTCCAACTCACTCTGTCCAACATAACAGTTTGGAGTTCACGTTCCTCCAAACCAGTATCATCTTCCAAGGTTTTCTTTAGGGTAATTTTGGGGTGACCCACTCTTCGCCGCTTATCAGGTTCCCACGACAGAACTCTGCCAGCTGGCTCATTGTGTCTTGACTCTTGACCAGCCGAGCTAAGTCGTTATCATCTAATGATCTCAGTGACACGAGGGTTCGAGCCGTAGGGAAAATTGTTAGTGACTTTGTCTTTTCAAGACATATTTTGTACTTTCCTCAGCATTAAGTGTATACGTGCCATCGAGCTTTTTCTCCAGAGATTTTGTCAGTGACCATGAATCGGACCCATAGAGAAGGATGCACTCGACTGTACCTTTGAACAGGCGCATTTTAGTTGCTTTCTTAATTGGAGATACCCATACTTTAGAAAGAGCATTGAGGCCCCCCAAGCCTTTCCTATCCTGATGTCGATGTCGTGGGATGTTTCTGTGTAACTACCCAGGGAAAGAAAGCCATCGACCTTTCCAATTTCTGATCCATTAAGAGAGAGCATTTGATCATCAGATGGTGGATTTAGACGCATGAACTTAGTTTTGCCTGCATTCAAAAAGAGCCGGCCGATAGATTGTGATGCGTCCTCAACTCGGTGAAGCAAATCTTCAGTTTCTTTGAGGACATTCTCCAGGTGGGCAATGTCATCAGCATACGCGAGATCAGAAAGAACCTCCTCTGGGTGTCTTGAACTTTGACGCTTTTTCAATGTAATTCCATCAGATGGTGAGATGGCAGTTATCAGGGCACAATCGAGACAGATTATGATTGGGACGGAGCCAGTGGATCACCTTGAAGTACTCCAGTGTCTATGGGGAACAGGTCGGTTTATCACCAGCGCAGATATGTTTTCATCCATTACCATCTGAAGGGGAATCCCATAGGCTAGGAGAATTTTAAGCATTATTTCGAGCGATTATTGAAACTGAGCGAAGTTGGGCCTCGCTGATCTCTAAAATGGAGAGACACACATCTGATAGGTGTCAATGCTATACCGCATGGTACACTCGACTGACTTCTGGGATTATTCCCGGTATTCAACCGGAAACTAAATATGCAGATTCTCGCTCTGTGAGCCCTGGAGTAGTCAGTCGATAAAGACGGTATCGAGTTGTCCATCGATAAATCCGATTTGATTGATATCGATTGTATCGGTCAATCGGTAGAAATCGATGAGACAACCGTTTCATTTATCGATTTTTCTTGATTTTTACCGATTTCACAGCTCAAGGCGAAAGGTGGGAGCTTCACTAAACCGTGCACAGGGCTATTTCTCTGGAGCGGGGCAGATAGGGCCAGGGAATCCTGCTCCATGATTAACAACATTTTCTTTAATCCGAAATAGTTTTTTTTTACTTTAAAAGTTTCTGATTGGACAGCTCTCTTCGTAAAGAAGGGATAAATTTGAACAGGTTAATTTTCAAAAGTTATGGGTTCCCTGAAAGATGGGGAATTTTTATCAATCGTCTTACGTTCTGTTTACTTGCGTGCGAACCGAATTTGTGATCTTTGAATTATCCACAATCTTATCTGTTTAAAAGTACCGGTAATGTTACACGCTATTTAGCAGTTAAAAAACGGCTTCTTAAAATTATCAGAAACTATTGAGTTTCCGTTAAAACCAAGTAAAAGGAATTCACTTACTCGCGCGCAATAGAATTAAACAATGATTTTGAAATGATTTTTTTTACTGATTATGATAGATGTGCCTTTCAAAAGCATTTGTTTACACTGAAGAAAAGTTGTCTTGTCTCGGATAACATCTATCTGTTGCTGTCAAGACTTTTTGCCTCTGAAACTATTCAACTCGTGCATTTTTGACCCTAACTTTTTCATTCTAAGTCCTCGTTCCAGCAAAAACGCAGGCGCAAACGTTGTTGAAATTTTAAACTTCGCCTCTCTTTCATTTTAACCAATCAACTTACAGAACGCTCGCGTACGTCACAATGTGACGTCACAGTATAATATATAAGCACACGCCACACACGAGCGAGCTTCAGTTTGCACTGACTTTCACTGTGTATACTTGACTTACTTGACTTACTGTAATTGAAAAAAAATTGCGCCCGAAATGGGTTGTAAAAGAGCAAAGTGAGATTTTCGTAAGTGTTTAAGAGGAAGAGGGTAAGAGCAACTTAGCGGTTGATGAAGTTTTCGTAATAAATGAAAAAAATGCCAATTTTATGCATCTTTAGCTGTGGTTTTCGAGAGTGTGTAGCAAGGCGGTTGGGAAGGGTAAAACATTTATCAGTGTATTGTTTATGAAACTCCTAACAAACAACAAATCTTAAAAAAATCTTATCTTTTCTTTAAAACCAGGTTCATTAAAATCTCCTGATGGCTGATATTGGCCAGGTTTGTAGGCGCCCTGAGGTTTTTAGGATTTAGATCTCCCACCCTTTGAAAATAACGTCGGTGTAGTTCGGGGTGTAATTACATCCCGAAGTAGTAAACAGATAAGAAACGAAATCGTTAAAAATCGTTAGCAACCATTGGCAAGTGATTTTATCGATTGATAACGGAAAACTGTGAAATCTATCGAGGGATTAGCCTGAACGCCGACTTGAAGGAATGTTTGAAATTAAGTCTAGGAAATCTTCATCTAATGTTGTATTTATCTTAATACTTACCTGCGAGAACTGAAGGTAACAAGAACCGTTTCTGTTGTTATGTACAAAATGAAGTTTTTTAGAGAGAAAGTTGAGTGCAGTGTGTACCACATTAATTTCTCATTTTGTTTGCTGTAAGTTGTTTATGATACTCGTCGATGTGTTTCCTCAGCTGTACTATTGCCAAAAATAAAAAAAACAACAACAATGGCGGGCTTCCGTTATAAATCGTTAAAATCATAAAAAATCGATGATATCGATTTGACACAGCGATTTAGCTTATCGATTTTCACCGGTTTTCGTTATAAAACGATAAAAATCACTTGATTGCTGCCGATTTTTATTTACTCCGGGTTGAGCTCATCCGGCTAACAAGACGACAATCTTGTCCCCAGAGCCTGCGTTACCCTTATCCAGCGGCCGAATGGGCAACGGACGCGCTGGAAGAACCCAAAGCCGGAACCACAAAATCCCGGTTCCGGTTTAATTGCGCGTGCGTGAAGTTGTTTACCCATTTGATGACCAAGCGAAGTTCCCGGGGAAATTTTGCCTTGCTCGCACATTGGTATATAATCGTTCCAAAGCAATTTTTCTTTACGTGACCTTTGATCGATGTATCAAGTAACTTGAAAGGGTTGTCAAAGAGACCGAAAAAAAATATATGTTTATTTAAAATGCTGCGACTAAGGGCGCTTTTTTGAGGGAAAACCAAATCCGGATTTCCGAATCCAAAAACGGTTATTGCGCTTTTTTGGCAAATCTAAAAACGGATCATGAATTCATAAAATCCACAATCTGGGTGGATTCTTCGAAGCAAATCCAAATTCGGATTTTTGAGATTCACAGTCTGCGCTGTTTTTTGGGAAAGGATTTGAAAAAAGTATTTTTGACCAGCGGTTTTCCGGACAAAAATGGTACACATCAGAGATGCCGTGCATGTATGAAATTCCAACTGAACCTATGTTGGTGGCGCCTTGACTTTGAGCCATTAGTTACATATATCATTCCATGTTTGTCATCTATTTACATTCGTAGATTGTTTTTAAACCCTTACTTGTCATGTTTTTCTTGTTTCATGCAGTCACGGTCTGCTCATGCCGGTTTTTTTCCAAGTAATTAAAAAAAAATAATTCATCGGCTTCAGTTTAAATTCTTATAATAATAATACTACCCTAAGGTGAATCCCATTCGAGAAACGTTTGTGTTTCAAACCGACATATATACATTTCGTTTATTCATACGTAGTTTATTCAGCTTATCTTGTCTTCATTTTCGCCGCAAGGATCACTTTGTTATTTTGTTCTCGTCACGAGGAACACGAGGACATGTCGTTGTCATGGTAAAAATGATCCTTTTCCGGATCTTCCGTTTTTTGGTAGAGAAGAATCCATATGATCTGAGATCACAAATGCGTTTTTGGATTTTCCCAAAAAAACGCACCTTAAGACATTCGCTAGTCATAACAACATTTAATTCTTCCGTGCACAGAATGAGCTAGAATGAGCACAGCTGTATGCATGCAGATTTTAAAGGTTAAAGCAGCATGTTTTCATAAAATCTCTTAAAAAGTGGCTTTTAATGACTTTAAAAAATATGACAAAGGAACAAAATGTCATGGTAGCGTGGTTTCGTGACTTTTCTGTAGACGAGCTTGCACACTTTTTTTCTTAACGGTTTCAAGTCAAAAAAGATTGGTTCGTACAAAAATGACCTGTCAAAAGCAAATCAACGTGCTCAATGTTTTTTTGATTTGCAAAGTAATTTGCATGTGATGAACACGTTTTTATTTTATTTGCCAATTCAATCAGAATTTTTTTTTCGGATCCTTCCATAGGTTTTAGTGATCCTTGGTGCTGACCAAAAGGATCGCAGCCTCTGGAAACGAGATTGACACGACGATACCTATCGTGCGTGGCATCGTGCGTGCAAATGAATTAAAAGATGGCTGACGAAGGCGAGAACGAAACTTGCGATCAAACCAGGCAAAATCCCCGGCAAGTAAGTTTATATTACTTTATATTGCTTTATTTTGTCCAAGAAGAATATTTTCCCCAGGAAGACACTGCTACAGTTTAAAAGAAACGAATACTATCTATAGCAGGGAGCTTTTTTCATATTTGTTTGTAAAATCGGCGTATTTAAAAGAAATGCAAAGAAAACGGCAAACGAAGTTCATGCGCTACCCAACCAAATGAAACTGGTCTAAAAGAAAACAAATATATTATCAAGCTTCACTATACGTTTTTAGTGGCACGAAAATAACTCGACATTTTCAAGGTCTTCAAAACAGTTTTCAAAGAATAGAATATGAGAACTGATACAAGCTTTATCAAATCAGGGTTTTCATTTGGCATCGGAGATCGGAGAATTCTCTGTTTACTACACAGCATTCTCCGGTTAACGTTCGGTGCCTGACTATTTTTATTGAAACTTAACGTTACGTTAATCCGGTTTATAACACCTTCGTAAGGCTTCAGTGTCTTCTTTTTAGTGTGGTTCCTCTTTCAGCTCCAACTGAGATTTAGGTGCAATTTCCTGAAGCGGCCTAAGACTGTCGTGGTTTTCTCAACTCACGCTACTAAAATTCTTAATGAAAACCTTGTGCATCAATTCATAATTTCTGTCCCAATTTCCTTTATGAGATCTTAACAGTTTTCTTGTTTTAATATCCACTCTCGCTCTATTTTTCAACGGCAGTTCGCGTCGATGTGTGAGATAAATGACCTAAAGTCCGTTTACTAGTGAAAACGTCGAAATTAACATGTGCCGAACTTTGGTCGATTCTAATGCAAATAAGCGGCAACGATAGATTCAAAACAGTGAAGTTAGAAGTTTCAAACGAGCTTTACACCTTTCCACAACTCGAATTATTTCCATCTTTAATTGTATTTGTTGACTTACCGTCAACAGGTTCGCAGCAAGTTTGCCGGTTCAGTCCAACAGTCTCATAGCTGAAAATAAACCACGCATTGTAACAACCTCTATAATGCATGGTGACCAGATGAATTTTACTTGAACATTCATCAATCGTGGCTTTATGAGGCTCCGAACCCTCAAGAAACAAATATTTTGCACGCCTCACGTGCTGAAAACTTGAGAACAAGTTTAGACTTGCGAAAACACAGACGTCTGAAGTTCACCTTACGAGGGGTGGAATGTAATTTCCACTGACGATCGCGTTTGAAACAAGTGATCATAGACTTTTGCGCGTTTTGCACAAAAGTCAGACCGCACTCTCCGAGCGATCTTTGAGAGTCGTCATCTGATGTTGTATGAGAAAGAAAATACTGATGCCTGCGAACGATAAATATCGTTATATTTTAACTTTTGATCAATAAACTTGATAAAGAAGATTTATCTTTTAATTTTTTTTTCTACATGTATTTCGGTGTGTTTCGGTGTGAGTTCATCGATTTTGTCCACTTCATTTGGCTCTATTGCGTTACCCCTGTGAAGTCTTATGTTTTTCTCATACTTCTTAACTAGTAGGTTGTAACGCATGATTAATAATCTTCCTAGCTCTGGTCTTTGGTATGAAAATAAAATTGCCCGTCCATGCAAGTATAAGTTTCTCAGAATAGCTTCTCACTGGATTTGAACTTCTTAAACAGGTAAGCCAATAAAGGGCTGGTTTTTTTTTAGGGTGTTAGGTTATACTGAATATATATCTCTTTTGAGTAGGAAAAGAGGAACGAGCAATCAAGTGATCCAAAGGAGCCGAAGCAACCGGTGCAATCGGAATCACCACCACATCAGGATGTTGAGAATGCAGAATATTGCACTCCATCGAACAATGGTAAAAGCTAAGCTTAATTTCGCCCCATGTGAGGGAATCCAGAATCAGGGAAAAAGTTTGCTTATGGGACCGGGAATCCTGGGTTTTGAAATTCGGAATACAGTTCAAGAAATCCGGAATTAAACTAACGATTGCAATCCAGAATCCAAGTTCCACTTACAAGACTGGAATCAAGTACCTGGAATCCGGAATCCACGGCGTGAAATCTAGAATCCAAGACTGTCTTGGACTCCCTTGCATGGGGAGATTAATTCATCTTTAAATAGTGACGTTCACTTGTCCTGAATGCTTTGTATTCCCCAAATTTACATATGTTTTTTGTAAATTGCTTTTTTTGGTTAAATTTTGAGTAACTGTTTATTTATTCCTCTGACAGGTTTTGGAGAATTAGAGTCTCTACTTTCTGAATCGATGACACTGCCAGCAGAAGTTGTCGAGTCGTTGGCGGAGTCCCGTAGTGATATCGTCCAAAATACAACACATGTTCATGCAGTAGTCTCCATCTTTAGTGGTGCTCAGCCTCGATCGCTGGCTGAGTCAAACAAGCTTTTTCGCTCTTGCGTACACAAAAGTGTACTTTAAGCAGAATGTGGTGGCCCCTGAAAGTATTTCTTGAATATTTGAAATTTCTTGTCCGTTTTTTCGAATCAGTTTTTTCGCGCTTGCGTCAAATCTAGACCACCGGGATGGATTTCAAACGCGTAATCTTTTCCGATATGGACTTTCAGGGCTCTCTGACCCTACCTCGAGCAAGTGAAAGAGTGGCACATTATCTTCCATGACTAACTAGTCCATCACACACTCTTCAGTGATCAGAAATATATCAGAGGTACATATTAAGTATATCTCTTATACTCATCCAGTCTCGTTGATCACCACGAAAGCGGTACTGGGCATGATCATTTTGCCACAGACGATTACTTCTCATGCTTTCACAAAAGAAGCGCGGCCCATTTCCACTTCACTCGAAACAGCCACTAGAATATCTCGAAAAAGTCCAAGCACTTTTTTCAAGACGTGTAGAAAGTTTTAAAAAGAGATATTCCAAGGTCAACAAAGTTCATCGATCGAAATAACGAATCTCAATTTCTCCAAGGTTTTACCATTATTATTCTCCATCTTGCGCACAAGTCTTCTACCACCTCTTCTTTGTTGGTTTGTTACCAAATGGCGGGCAAATACTGCCGGGAAAACGTGCAACATGTCAAATCAAAGGCAGAGCTACAGTTTATATTATAAATATTTTAGGTAATTGTATTACCACCCTATAAAAAGCAATAACTGCAACTTCAAAGTTTTATCAACGTTATATTTAATTAACAAGAGCTAATTATTGGTTAGGGGCCATTGATCATTCGATATTAAAAAGTGTGAATGTTTGTTTAACAGGAAAAAAGCCTTCATTTAACACGGCCAAGAAGATTGCAGCTGTTGCAGCTGTAAGCGTGGCTGCTACTGCTGTGGGGGTACTAGCTGCTCCAGTGATTGCTGGTGCTGCTTTGGGTGCGGCTGGATTCACCTCCGCTGGAGTGCATGGCTGCTGGTTCTGTCGCAGCAGGAGTGCAGTCAGCTGTTTATGGTGGATCTGTGGCTGCCGGAAGTCTGTTTGCTCTTTGTCAAAGTGCAAGTGCCACCGGAGTTATTGGCTCCGCGGCGACTGCTTTCATTGGTGGAGGTGCTGGATTGGCTGGCATTGCTGGAACACTGGGGAGCTTCAAACTATTTGTAACGCTCGACTGTTTGCGTAATTTGTATTCTAACATTAGTAGACAACAGCAGAACCCAACTACAACAAAACTTAAATGATGGGTCTGGGTAAATGGGGCTGCTTTCCCGTCGAACAGAAACATATTTACCTTGGTAGAAGAGCTTTAAATGCAATATTAAAACGAAACTAAAACTTACTTTACTTTACCAGTCTCAGTTAAAGAAACAGAAAATTACCGCTATAAAACTGTTTACACCAGAAGTTGACCCTGTCAATTATAGACGACTAAGCTACCGAAAAACCTGATTACGGTCAGCCCAGCAACAAGTATAGTTGACAAAATACGACGCATTCGATTCCACATTAGACAGCACTAATAGTGACAACAATTGAAACTAATCGATTTCCAAAACAGCAACTAAGGAAATATAGTACTTCATAAGGAACTTTCAATGAATTTTTCTTAAAAACAAAAGGAGAACGTGAATACCAAGAAAAAAGGTTCTGAAATTTTTATTGTCTCGTGTCCAATCATAACAAAAACAGGATACGAGAGCAAGCCACAAACCCACTTACTGTCATTCTTACTTGTGGTTTAATTTACTCACTTTTTGCATGTTATAACGTTTTTGTTTTGGCTATTTTCCTTTATTTTGTTCAGTTTCCTCATGCCTGTTTGGCTTTTTCCTTGCAACGCAGTAACTTTCTAGAAATATTTCTGGTATCCATGGTTCTGATCGTGAGTTTTACAGTAAAAGCTTCATAAACTCTGAAAAATAAGTGAAATAAAGAAAATGAACATTTAATCTCTTACTTACAAGCTGTTTGTCTCTTTTCAAGAAACTTCAGCTAAACTAGCTTAACCTATTGTATTCAAACGATATCATGTAAGTCAAATCGAAATTTAAGGGCATTAAATCAAATAATTTAAACCAACAAGCTTGTCAACTGATATTTTAGTCAATTTCAAAGCTTCCAGTTCTTTTAATAAAATATAATAATAAATATAAAACTTATATTGCGCATAAACAATAGACATATTTTCATACGCGCATAACAGACGATAAGATATAAATAAGCCGAATTAAAAGCTATCATAAAAATGTAAGTCCATTAAATTCTACGTTAAAAAATAATAATAAAATAATAAAATTAAAAAAACAGGAAAAAACTAAAAACTTAAAAATAAATGAATAAATCAATTAAAAATAAATGAATAAATCAATTAAAAAGGTATCTTAAAAAAGTACGTTTTGAGGGCTCGCTTAAAAGATGTGAGGCTCTCAATGTTTCTTATCTCCGCCGGAAGACTGTTCCACAGTTTGGGCTGAAAAGCTCGGTCACCAAGTGTAGGTAGGCACCGTGCGTTGGCTGATACCAACAAAGTTGCATTCCTTGACCTAAGAGTATATATTGACTGGGCAGCGACAGCAATAAGATTAACCAGATATTGTGGTGCAAGTCCGTAGAGGCACTTGAATATTAATAACACAATTTTAAATTCAATTCTGTATTTGATGGGCAACCAGTGAAGATCTTTTAAAATGGGAGTGATATGACAGGTACGAGGAGTGTTAGTTACAAGTCTGGCAGCAGCATTTTGAACTCTTCGAAGTTTATTAATGTGAATAGTAGGAAGGCCACATAATAGGCTGTTGCAGTTGTCCAATTTAGTGGTAATAAACGCATGAATAAGGGATATGGCGGTTTGATGAGACAAATACTTTCTGATCCTACGTATATAGTAGATATAATAAAAAGACAAACTGCAGATATTATTGACATGGCTAAGCATGTCAAGATCAGAGTCAAACCATGATCCCAAGTTTTTTTTACGCTAGGATCATATTGATGATGATGATAATGATGATGACGACGGATAATTATAATGACAAAAACAAATTTGTTGAAGAGCATTTAACTTGGCAAATAGCAAAGTAAGGGATTTGTTTTCTTACAGGAAAATACTATTCGAAATTGCTCTGCAAATACTTTCAAAGGTTTGAACCCTTGTTGTCACTGATAGAATAATAAAAGAACGTTTTTTCATGGCGACCGATATTATAAATATTCACAGCAGATACTTGTTATCGTAAATCAAATGTGCTAAAAGCAAAAATTGAACATATAAACTCATTTAATTCATAGGGAAGGAAATCAGACACCATAAAGTTGGTGATTTGTGAAAGCGGAGATGGAGCACACGTGTTTGCTGGTATTGCGTCTTCTCGAAAAGACACTGACGTTCGAATTCTTGCTTTGCATGAAAATGAAGCAAAGCGCTGGAATACTGCACTGCAGCAAAAGAAACTTGAGGTTACATTTCGTTGTGAAGGTGAAAAAACCTCCAGTATTGTATCCAAACCAGCTCTGGTGACAAACAACCCAGAAGATGCTATGCGAGATGCTCAGATGGTAATATTTATGATGTATGCGTCAGGCTGTCATCAAGTTTATTTAGAGGTTTTAGCACCCCACGTTAAACCTGGCACCATTATAGTTAGTTTATCAGGGTACCCAGAGTTTGAGTTCCAAGTTCATCGCGTGCTGGTGGAGGTAGCGCGGCAATGCACCATCATGAAATTTAAGTCACTTCCTTGGACGTGTCATATCACTGAATTTGGAGTTAAATGTGAGGTAACTCGTACCATGAAGACACTGCACGGGATCGTCAAGGTAAGCTTAGCGAGTGTCGCTCAACGAGAAATAAACGCTGCATTACTTAACCCTAGGCCTATTCTGACCGGGGCGTTGCCTTTAAAGTTGAATACCCTTTAAAGTCGTTCAAGCTATGACCGCCAAAAATTAAAAACATTTTCCTAAAACTATATCTGGGAACATTTTAAAGTACTTCGTGACGAAAACATCAACATTGACGCTACCATAGCAACCGAATTTTAACAGCCATGATACGGGTAAAAAAGTTCTGATTTATTTGATGATTTTACTTACTTTTAGTTACTTACTTAACTGCATCCGAGAAAATCGGTGACTTGACGAAATTCTTCCTCCAACTCACTCTGTCCAACATAACAGTTTGGAGTTCACGTTCCTCCAAACCAGTATCATCTTCCAAGATTTTTTTTAGAGTAATTTTGGGGTGACCCACTCTTCGCCGCTTATCAGGTTCCCACAACAGAACTCTGCCAGCTGGCTCATTGTGTTTGACTCTTGACCAGCCGAGCTAAGTCGTTTTCGTCTAATGATCTCAGTGACACGAGGGTTCGAGCCGTAGGGAAAATTGTTAGTGACTTTGTCTTTTCAAGACATATTTTGTACTTTCCTCAGCATTAAGTTTATACGTGCCATCGAGCTTTTTCTCCAGAGATTTTGTCAGTGACCATGAGTCGGACCCATGGAGAAGGATGCGCTCGACTGTACCTTTGAACTGGCGCATTTTAGCTGCTTTTTTAATTGGAGATACCCATACTTTAGAAAGAGCAGTGAGGCCCCCCAAGCCTTTCCTATCCTGATGTCGATGTCGTGGGATATTTCTGTGTAACTACCCAGGGAAAGAAAGCCATCGACCTTTCCGATTTCTGATCCATTAAGAGAGAGCATTTGAACATCAGATGGTGGATTTAGACGCATGAACTTAGTTTTGCCTGCATTCAAAAAGAGCCGACCGATAGATTGTGATGCGTCCTCAACTCGGTGAAGCAAATCTTCAGTTTCTTTGAGGACATTCTCCAGGAGGGCAATGTCATCAGCATACGCGAGATCAGAAAGAACCTCCTCTGGGTGTCTTGAACTTTGACTCTTTTTCAATGTAATTCCATCAGATGGTGAGATGGCAGTTATCAGGGCACAATCGAGACAGATTATGAATGGGAACGGAGCCAGTGGATCACCTTGAAGTACTCCAGTGTCTATGGGGAACAGGTCGGTTTATCACCAGCGCAGATATGTTTTCATCCATTACCATCTGAAGGGGAATCCCATAGGCTAGGAGAATTTTAAGCATTTTGGATCTGACAATGGAGTCGAATACCTTTTTGAAGTCAGTTAAGACTATCACAGCCTCTTTCTTGTGGTTTAACACTTCCTCGACAATGCGCCTCAGTGCCAAGGTGTGGAAGGCAGTAGAACGAAGCTGTCGGTGGGGCGTAATAGCTTCTCGACGACAGGTCTANACGGAGCCAGTGGATCACCTTGAAGTACTCCAGTGTCTATGGGGAACAGGTCGGTTTATCACCAGCGCAGATATGTTTTCATCCATTACCATCTGAAGGGGAATCCCATAGGCTAGGAGAATTTTAAGCATTTTGGATCTGACAATGGAGTCGAATACCTTTTTGAAGTCAGTTAAGACTATCACAGCCTCTTTCTTGTGGTTTAACACTTCCTCGACAATGCGCCTCAGTGCCAAGGTGTGGAAGGCAGTAGAACGAAGCTGTCGGTGGGGCGTAATAGCTTCTCGACGACAGGTCTAATTCTATTAAAAATCATTCAGTTGTACACATTTGCTGCAATTTGGGTTAAGCTGATACCTCTGTAGTTGTCGCGAATTGTGAGGTTTCCTTTCTTGGGCACTGGAACTATTCCTGAGATACCCCATTCATCTGGTCTATGGTCTTCAAACGTGTGAATGCAGAAATCCTGTAGGAACGTCCTAACTCTTGGCAATTTCCACGGGTCAAGAGTTAGACCATCCAACGCAGATGCTTTTACTGGTTTCATTGCTTTCAGTGCTCTGTCGACCTCTTCAACAGATAACTGATTAATGCTTATCTCTTATTGAAAGCCAAATATAGAGGCTATTTTAATGATTTTATAACTCTTAATTTGGCATTATTTTATCAAATTAAATATAGCTGTTAATGTAATCCAGGCTTCTTCTAGTGACAAATTGGAGAAAGAACAACAAAAGTTAATTAAAATGACTAGGACCGTATTTCCGAACAACTTGCAGATTTTGCTTTGCTTCCTAAGCATCATTATATACACAGGCCATCTTTTCTATCACGATTCTCTAGATTTATGACGGTTTTATAAAATGGGATACATTTAATCAGTTCGAAAACAACAGATCCAAGATGGCTGATGTTTTCAGTTCCTTCGATTTTTTTTTATTTGCTACTTTTGCTATGTTTTAACATTGATTTGAGCTCTGATAAAGGGCAGAAAACACATTAAAGACAAAGACCATTAGTTACATGTTTGCCGGCTATGTTGATAACTTCAGGGAGGCATAAAGAAAAAAACGACAACAAGCACAGCGGTTTGAGAGGTAACTCCAACATCGTGCCGAATCGAAGATGTGTTCATTCCATTTATTGTTATAATTAAACCTTGGCCGAAAATAGGGACGAATATGCTTTGATTAATGAGTTTGAAACTGAAAATGTTACAGATATGCACAGTATAAACAAATTATGTATTTTTTGTGTTTGTTTTACCAGAGAGGAAACGTTGCTCCAAAGAGAGACCCAGTTTGCAACTTGCAGTATCTCCTAGGATCCCTCCCTGTACTGAGAGTAAAGAGGATCTAATACGACTGTTTATGCTTTCCAAACAGTACTACTTGTAAACTTTATTTAATATAAAGTGGTTTGAAATCTCTGTAAACAAAAACAACAGCAACAACGAAAAGAAGCAAATAAAGTAACACAAAAATATGTGTAGCTCAGATCTATAGCTCGAACTTTACATATGTTAAGCAATAAGAAGAATGAAATTAATTACCTGACTCTGTTCAGTTTAAAATTTGTCCAAATACTTCGATCGCTGAAATAAGATCGAAAGCGAATCAGCAGATCGAAAGCATTTCAATCTTCGTTGGTGAAATTTAAAATTATTTAAATTGTTGAGACCGCTGACGTCGGAAGTTACAGCATATTTTCCCAAAATAAACTCCGTGTTGAGATCAAAATTTAAGACTTAAACTGAATTTCTTCCACAAAGAAATGTTCCTAAAATGAAAACTAACGTTTATCAGCCAAAAAGTATATTTGACAAGCTTTGTTTTTCTTATTAAATCTCCGTCCTATAAAAAGATACTAATTGTTATTTATTAAAAGATGAAGTTATGTTCCTTTTGCTTTCTATTCTTCATCATTCCTCGCTTAAAACGTTCCTGCGGCAGCGGCTGAGAAGAGACCTGCAGCACCGTTCATGCCAATTCCAGCAGCCCTTTACGCTTTGGGCCAGTGCAAACGCACTACCTGAAGCCACATATCTTCCATAGACGGCGGACTGGGTTGTTGCTGCTACTGAACCTGCGGCAACTCCTGCTGCGGTAAATCCTATAGCTGCCAAAGCAACAGGGGCGGCTGCTATGGTAAGACCGCCCGCTACTCCGGCCAAACAAACATCCGTCAGTTCCATCCTATTGTAAATATGTTTAAAGAATTTCGATCAAAAAATTTCTAAAAAAAACATCAAGCAATCATAAATGGATAACTCCTGACTTTGTTAAGACAAGACAATTGGTATCAGCAAGTTGTCGTGATTGCAGGTTCCCTGGGAAGGAGGGGTGCAATCCCTTATTTCGCCTATACCGGTTTGTGCCGCTGAACGGGGAATGGTTGCCAGTGTCTTTAGTATTAAACGCACAGTATTGGATTTCATCCAATAGCAGTATAATACATAGTTAGAGTTTAGCTTATCATTAACCTCGGCATATTGGGTGTTTGCGTGAGTGCCCTAGCTCCGTTATCATTTTGTGGCAGATTTTAGCAACACCCATATTTTTTTGCCTATCGAACTCCCCCCGCCAACCCCCTCCCCCCCGCAGCGAGTCGCACCAGGGGGGTGGCCTTCAGGCTGCCAGGCCCACCCCTTGCTGCAGCTTGCTTTTTTCCCACCAGCTCAGTGTGGTAGTCTCATGTTATTGTATTGCTTTTCCCTGATGATTGACACGAACTCATAAGCATATAATTTAACTATTTGGAAAGAAAGAAGAAAAAGAAAATTTACTTAACGAGGATTAGAAACGTTTCCTGACTGGTTACCCAGTAGTTTTCGCAATGGCCCTCCCTCCAACTATTCAGTGTAGTGAACAGAGAAAGTCTTCCAATCCGGTCAAAAAGGACACTCTCTGTTCACTACGCTAAATAGTGAAATTGTATGCCCTGATTAAGCCGAAAACATTCTGAAAACCATTCCCTCTGGTTCGCGAGGAGCGGTCACAAGAATTTTCCAAAAAAAATTTAATCCTACAATGTAAGTATAAAATTAATTAATTCTGTATGTAAAATGAATGAACCAGGTTCATGTGAAACAATGTCTCTTGTCTTAAACAGGGTGGTAAAATGAACAACTCGTTTAGATGGTAGGGATAAGTTAGTAAGGACAATGATTGTGGCAAGTACCAGAAACGACAGAAAACATAATTTGCGCCCTTTTGCTCATGATGCTCTTTCACTATCGTTTCCTCGCATTTAAATTTTTTTTCTGAGCAACGAGTCAGTACTATACGCACTAATCGATGTCCCTCACGTTCGTAGTTTATCGGTCTTTGAAACTTTTCGGGTCCTTCAAAGGCTTATCTAAAATATATTGCGTAATAGACTTATCGCGTGTATGCGTTATGCGCATAGATTCACACTTGCCCGAATAAAACCGTAACTGCCACTTGCGTGCCCATTCTATGAGGTGCAAAGATCCATTTGTAAAAGCTGAGGATCCTTAATTGGGTCGACTACTTGACGATAGATCTTTGTATCGTCAGCTTAAAGTTTCACAGTTGACTGGCACAATTGGTTATATCGTTTATATAGATCAAAAACAATAATGGGCCGAGAATGGTCCCTTGTGGGGTACCAGAGGTAATACTTGAAAAATCAGACCTAGTTCCACTCAGAATCAAGCGTTACCTGCGTTCTGCCTGGAACTGCCTGAGCCAGACGTGCAAGCGGCCGTTAATACCATTACTTTTCAACCTCAGCGGGAGCCACTCTTAAGGAACACTGTCGAGTGGCTTGGCCAGGTCCAGGAAAATCACATCGGTTGGGAGAGCTACGAGACAAATTACGCAGTTGCGTTTAGCCCAGCAATTCATCGAGGATAACAGTTGTGTTACGGTGGATCTTCCTTTCAGAAAATCGAATTGGTTGCTATTTATCAAACCAGTTTCCTGCCAAAACTTATGCAACCTATCAAAAACATTTTTTCCCCAATTTTACAAACGATAGAAGTAAGAGACATTGGGCGGTAACGTTCTCTGAGAGATTTAGAGCTCTTCTTGTGTAACGGCGTGATATCAGCGCATTTCCATTCATTCGGTAATAAACCGGAGGGGAATGATTTGTTTAATATATGCGCCAGTACGTGAAGGTGCTAGTTCTGATGCACATTCTCTCAAAACGCAAGGGGCGATATATAAACCCTTCTCGAGATGGTGGCAAATGAAGCCTTGCAAGATGGCAAGATTCCTCTGGCTAATATCTTTTCAAGCATTCATTTGTGTCTTTCCAGACCTCGGTTTCGCGGGAATCAGCTTTTCGTTTTTAAACTGGGACACAGGGGACCGAGGTTGTTTTTGTTTGTTCGTGTGTTGGTTTGTTTGTTTCAACGCTGTTGACATAACTAGAATAACTCTCTTGCTCTGGTTTTTAAGGTGTTTTTCCTGTTTGTTACTAAGTTCTTCAACTCAAGGCCCCAAGAGCCCTCCCGTTTCCAAAGCCTTCCTTAGTAATAAATATAAATTAGCCTACTAGACCTCGTGTCAGGTCTTTCGGTTTGAACCTGTGTTTGGCTTCCTGTTTTCGCTTTGAACAGCAGTATCAAAAAGTTCATATATTACACCAAAATACGTACGTCAAGGAATGTCCACCATGTTGGTGTCCCAAATCAATAAAACGGCAGCCATGTTGGCGTCCCAAACCAGTCCTGAGAGAGTTTAACTCTTTTCTTAGGTAAATACTTTCTTTTGAAAAAAAAAAAAAAAAAAAAAA